ATTTACCTAGGGCACATACATTTATTTTGACTATGAGAAATGGGGTCAACGAAAAAAAGAAGGCTTCACGTTCGAGTATAAATATCTGGAAGATAGAGAATTAAATTGAAAATAATGTGTTTTCAAATAGTCCTACACTAAAAAAATTCTTAGAATAAAGTCCACGAATACAAAAGGATTATCTGTGCCCTTACAACATGTGATATGATATGAACATTTGGAGAAAAGGAATTTGGAGTATACAATTTTTATTTTTTAATTTTGAAAAAAAAACTTAATATAGTCTTTGTTTATATGTATGTACATACTAACCAAATGTTGTACATATTAACAGACTGCTTTAATATTTTTTCTAAATTATTTATTCTCTAACCAAAAAGTACTAAAAGCTTTATGTCCCATATGCATTATTCCTTGAAAAATGACTTATTTTCTATTTTTTTTCAATAGTTTTGTTTTTGTTTGAAGCATAAAACTCGTACAAATAGAATTATTATTAGCAATATAGTTAAATTTCTCATAGTTTAATAAAAAAATTTTCTGTATTGTACTTTTTGTACCTCAGATTTTTTGTCAAATTTGTTATTAAATCTGTGATACCAAAAAGTTAATTTTATTTGGTGTCATTCAAAAATTATGTAAATTATTTTTTTTTTTAATGTATAATTGTCCATTCCCTATCTTGAAATTAGTTTTTCCTCAATTATAAAAGTATGTATATAAAAATTTAATTAATAGCACTTTAATCAGGTATATACATTTTTTAATTGAATGAATATATAAATAAAATAAAACAATATATTTTTTTAATAATGAAATTGTATGAATTTATATGAGATCAACAGTTTTTATTAAGTTTTAAAATTTATTTGTATATTAGATAATTTTTGAATGACCCTTTTTATATGCTACATTTTCAAATTTCCTTAAAGTTTAAAGAATGTAAAACTTACATTATTGGTTGAAATTTATATTTTTCTCAAATCTAATTGAATAACTATAGAGCAAGTTACACAAATTAAAATCTCCTACCTTGTACTTAATTCATTACTCACTTTAGAACAAAAATGTTAGCTACTATTTTTTGTACTATTATGTATAATTACATTCAATATTTCTCACTTGTAAACAAAATGATTTTCCAATGAGCGATTTAAAATTTGTATGATAAGAGTCTTTCAAAAAATATAATTTATTCATATTTCATCAATAGAATTAAGTTTTTTTATAATTATTTTTTTTTTGTTTTGTACAATTTTTTTTAATCAATTGGTTAGGCACAATATTCTTTCAATTGTTGATTATATATTCTAAAATGTTTAAATAATTTTTGACCGACTCTTATGGCCTTTTATTAAAACCCAAACAACCTCAAATTAATAATTAATTATTATTATAGACCAGGAAAGTATTATGTTTAAGTTACTTTCCCTTTTGTGATTTATGTTAGGGACAAAATGATCAATGTTTTTTTTATTATTATTGTTGGCTGTTGGGTATTAAACTCTGATTGTGTTTAATGCATGGAAAAACAGTTTTGATGTTTTGTTCCTATAACATCGTCTTAAAGCCAAACAAATGATTGATAGATGTACAAAGAGTAAGCTATTTAATAAAAAAAAAAAAAACCATTACAATAAAACTGTTTGATATTATTATTATTATTTTTTTTTTTTGATCTCTTAATTTGACTAAGGTTAAGTTAATAATGAGTACAAAATTTGCAATTGTCTTATTTTGTTCATTAAGTAATATTCATCGTCACAATTACTAGTTTTGAGATATCTTAATTTATTTTTATAATAATATGTCAATAAAAATTGTTTATAATATGATTGTTTATTTCCACGTTCGTTATTAGAATTATCCATTTATTTGGTGTTAGATAAATTATTGTGTAAAATCACGAGCTTAAATTAAACAAGAAATATTTTAAAATTGTTTTGCTTTAGAGTTATCAACAATAACAATTTTTTTAAACACTCCAAATAATAGCCATTCAAGGGTTGGCTCTTGGCAGGTTATGCTTTGGTAGTTTGGGGTAGCTTAAAATTTTTTAAAGTTACAATAGTTTTTATATTTTGAACCCAAAAGTATCCGTACAAAAAAAATGTTTGACCAGCCCCTTCATTTTTTTTTCAGTTATAGCCTTGCTTAGCTATAATACATAATTGAACATTTTGTAAATGTTAAAAATATAATTGGCAAATTTTTGAGATTTTGATGATCAACTGCTACAATAGCAATTATTATAACAACTAATGAAGTGCCTTGTATTAAAATTTCAAAGTATTTACTTCCCTCCCCCAAAAAAAAAAAAATATAACTGTTGACATTAATAACAAAAAAAATTTAAAATCCTAAATGTCTATAAGTAACTCAAAACGAGTCAAAATAATTTGTAATAACATGTATAGAATAAACATTTTAAATATCTACACTACAGTTATTCGTTTTCGAATCACAACAAAATAAGTAAATCTTTCGATGAGAATTCATACACAATGTCGGAAAAAAAATTGAAATTCAAACACTCATAAAAAATTAATTTGACTCCGGTAAACTTTTTTTTTAATTTGCTAATTGTGCTTCACATATAAATGAGCCCTGTATTAAATGAATCGTTTAATCCATTTCGTATTATTTTTCTAGTTTCAAATTTCAAATTTGTTATCTTTATTGATTCCCCTTTCAATCAAGTACTGTCTTGAAAATATACATTTTAGTGTTCTTTTCGATAAAACCGTTCAAAATTCAATATACACTAAAATCGCACCACGATATCGTAAATGATATGTTGAAACTGTCTTATTTTTCTGAAGCCCAAGTACTCGGCTTTGAAAATTATAAATTTTGAATGTTGAATTAAAAATAGCATGGAGAACATAACTTTTGATGTTCATTTGTAAACAGCCGTCCTTGGTACACCGTGCAGATGTAATGACCCGAAAAATCGTTCATTTCGTTTTATTTGTCACGAGTCCACGGGCTGCCCCGTTTAAAAGTTTCAAATTTTTAATCTTTGTTGAAAGTCCTATCGATTCAAAATGGTCTAGAAAACATAAATGTTGGTATTCGTACTTAAATTCGAAACAGCTGTTCAAAATGCTATTGCAGGTTGCCCCGGAAATCGTGAAAATCGGATAGTGGACATAATTTTGTTTCTGGAACACAAGTCCTTTTGGTAAATACTAATTTTAAATCTTCATTGATTCACCTTTCAATTTAAAATAGTCCAGAGAACGTATATTTCGAAACAGTCCAAAATGCACTTTGCAGTAGAATCGGCCCGATATCGTATATTGTATAATCCATGCTATATACGCGAGGTTGTCTTATTTTTCTAAAACCCAAGTCTTCAGGCTGCCGCATACGGAAATACACATTTTTTTATCAGTACTGAACGTGTAATTTAATTATTTTATGTAGGTAGGTATGATATCTGAAATGATATCAACGTCGGGGAATTTGTTGCACAATTAGGTAATAGGTATATTGCTTCTAATAAGCACAATGACAAAATGTGACAATCTACAAATTCATAAACCGAAAAAACTATTCACCATAATTAGTTTGTTAAAGAATGATTATTTAGGGCACCAGATTTTAGTTCAAACTTCAAGTTAAACTGAAGTTTATAATTTAACTACAATTAAATAAACGCAAAAAAAATGAAGGGGGACGTGGGTCGACCTGCAGACAAACGGATTTTAAGAAGCGAAAAAAAATTATACGAAAAAAGCTTTAGTATTTAGTACGACAGTAGATTAAATTCATTTTTACCAAAAAAATACATTTGAAGAGTCGTTGTGTGTATAAAATATAATAATATACTCTAAAAATTTCAAGTACCCAAGACTAATATTTTTAAATTACAACAAAATAATTTAAATCATTATTCTTGGTTATTTAATATGTAATTTCGTCCACATTTGAACACAAAACAACTGTAAAAAAACTGAGCTTAAATATTATTAGATTTTTTAGTTACAGAATAAACTACTAAAGTGGAACCTAATTTTAAATTTTCAACCCTTAGCTATAATAGTTAAAAAATATTCAATAATTTTAACTAGAAATTTATTTGAGTACCTATATGAATTGATAAAATAAACGTATTGTGTAAACATAGAATAGATAAATAGTGTACATTTCAAGTATCTACAATTATCGGTTGTCGAAAACCGGGTTTCCGTTAAAAATTCTGTTTTTCCTGCAGCTTTTGAAAATTATTGGGAATATGTTTTCCATTGGACCCCTAGCTCAACGTTTCCCAAAGTGTGTTCCGCTGAACCTTAGGGTTCCGTGGGACAATGTCAAAGGTTCCGTTAGATACTTAGATGTATGAGATTATTGAGAAAATTATGTTTATTTAAGAGGACGCTACACCCGCATGTGTTATCTCCGTCTTACAAACGTAGAACATAGCAAAAACATATTTTGCGCGGGAAAGAACCGAGAAAGCTACAGTCATAATTAAGAAACGAAATTTTCACCACATAAAAAGGAGAACGTTGGCTGTGCAATATCGTTTTTATATTTTCGATATCGGAAGTACAAAAAAAGTTATTCAAGTTTGAAAAATACAAAAACAAATGTATTTTGAAACAATAATAACTTTTTTCATATAAGTGATATCGAAAAAATAAAAACGATATTGCACAGCCAAAGTTCTCCTTTTTATGTGGTGAAAATTTCGTTTCTTAATTATGACTGTAGCTTTCTCGGTTCTTTCCCGCGCAAAATATGTTTTTGCTATGTTCTACGTTTGTAAGACGGAGA